ACTTAGGGTCAATATAAAAAACATTGTTTTTCCTTAAGAATATCTGTGGCTTATTAGCTTAGTAGCACTAATGATGAGGTCAGGGCATTAAGATCAAACCCTACATATGCCAATCAGTTTCAAAGAGAAGAGTTTTTTTATAGCCAATGACTGGATTAACTTTGACCAGCTGCCATACAAATGCATGGCTGGTGGTCTGCGAGGTACCAAGCCAAAAAATGCCAAGGTGCAGCATAAATCCAGCCCTACTCAAGCAATGCTAAGTAAATTGGGTGACTATATCTTTGAATGACCCAAATTGTACCATCTCTGCTTTAATTGGAAGGCAGCATCAATAGGCTAGGGGAAAACTTTTGGTCAAGGTTTAGAAGGCTACAGATTCTTATTTTCTCCTTCTAATTTAATAAAGGGCAGCTAAAATCTGACCTCACTTGTCCCCATCATGTCCAAGAGAGTGAGAAAAATGTAGATGAGACCTGTCTGTTGGTCTTTCCCAGCAAAGGAAAATGGCAATCTACTTTCATGAGGTATGTGCTCCTTTGACCAGATGAGCTGTGTATATTCTCTGAGGGGTTGAAAACCAACTTAAACAAACAAAAAAGAATGTGGTTCTTCTTTCTTTAAGTGGGCATAATCTTCTCTTAGGGAACAGACAGAATCTAAAGAAGATAAAGGAAATGAAAGATTCTTTGGTCACTACTTAAACCCAAGGTCCACCTTTCTTCAGTAGTGCCAAATCTTTGTTAATTACAACCTAGACTATGAGTCTGTTAAAGTTGGAAGAGGTCATTTACTTTAACAAAATCTCCTTGTTTTATAGACAAGGACATTTCAACCCAAGAAGTTTAAGTGTTTGCCAAAGTCTTACAACTAATGAGTGACAGGTCTGGGAGCAGTTTTCTGAGCACAATATTTCAAATGAAAGAAACTTGAGTTAATAATAATAACCTAGATGGAGGAAGGTTGTTTCAATCAATAACAATGAAATTCATGGCAAAGTTTCATGTGGACTCTATATAAACAGTATGTTTTAACACACAAAGAATGCCATTTGTTTATTCAGATCTGTTCTTAATAACTATGCATTGGAAGTACGTTTTATAAAAGCTATAAATCTGGAAGATCTGAAAGGGTAACCAACTTTCTTTTCTAATTGATTTACTTCTCTGTTTTTTTCCAGACTGCCGAGGTAAAGCATATATAATTTATTTAAGGGATTGTTTATAGACTACTAAAACTAAAAAGGACCCCAGAAACTCACTTTCTTTTAGCTGCTGTTAATTGAAACCATCCAAGATGGTTGGTTGTCCATCAATATTTTTTAATTCTCTCCAAGGAGAGAAATTCCACAAGCCCTTGAAGAACATGTTAAAATGGTTAATGGCTCTCAAAAATTATGTCTATAGTAAACTTAATGTTTCCTCTTTCACTGGAAGCTCTTTTCCTCTTGCAGTTCCACACAAAATGAGGTTATAACAAACCACTCTCTGTGAAAGCTCCATCAATCTGGTAAGATAACAGCTAGTTGTTTTTCAATGTGCCACCTCTATTAAGCCACCATTTTTCTCATAGGACTATGAGCACACAAGACTGGCTGATACACTCTCTTACTCTGATGCATAGGGAAGAATCAGTAATTAGCTCTTCATTGGAACTTTCATTTCAGAAAATGTCTGGGGAAGCTGCATTAATTATAGAGGAAGTGTTTCATTTAGCTGGGAAGATGCTTACAAAAAAGATAATCTAGATAGTTGTTTTCCACAGTGCTCTAGTGGGACTGGGGCTTGTAGAGAAATATGAGCTCATTCACAACACTGGGTCAATCTATACAAAATTAGCATGACAGAAAATTTTATTCAGTTGTGTATCTAATAAGGTTTTTTAAAAAATCTTTCCTTGTTAAACATTCTGGCCCAACAAAAAAGATAGATATGGAGGCAGTTTTCTTTCAGATGTTTGAATTTCAAACTAAGATAAAAAACTGCCTTCCACTACTAAAAAAAATTTATACTTTCAAAATGGGTCTTCAAGCAGCTTAAGGTACAAGGTGCAGCCACAATAAAACTTTGAAAATAAGGGTAAAAAAATAGTAAGAGTCAATTTACAGGGGATGGAGGTGGAAAAGACTGCTTTGTTCTAATAAGATTTCAAAGACTGTAAATGCTTAGAGCTGACTTCTTCACACACAGTAAATCTCAGGGGACAAACAGGAAACTAAGTAAAATTTGTTGACAACAGTTAATGCCTGTAAGAATAATTGGCTCAGACACAAAATAGACCATCATTGTAGCTTGGGGGATAACTAGGATGCAGCCATAAGTTTGTTAGTATATATTGTATTCATTTTTTAAAAAAGTAACAGTTTTATCAAATAGCTGCATAAATGTGAGGTGAGAATTGTCCAAAGAACTTGATAAACCTAATTCTTGATGGTGTTGAAGACTAAGATCTCAAACAAGTAATTCCATTTTATTCAACTGGATTCAATTCAACTCAATTCAATCCTGTCAGTTCAACAAATATGAGCCACTACTATAGTAGTCAGGCATTGAGTGAGGTAGTGGGATTTAATGGTAAATAAATATAGCATTTCACATCAAGGAGCCCATTGAGAGGGTAAATCCTGGTTAGGTGATTTCAAAAATGGGACAACATATTCAGGAAAAGTATAAATGATTCTAATCTAATCTCCCATTGTTATTTTTCTCTTATGACACTTGATAATACTTATGTGCATTTTTTAACCTCCCAACTAGTGACTAGACTGTGAATTCTTTGAAGGCAAAGTCAATCTCTCGCATTTGTTTCTAGGTCTCATTGATGACTGGTATAGGGTCTTACACAGAGCAGATGTTCCATCAATGTTTTGAGTTAAAGGATTTAAATGGGCTAACTTCTCTTGGGCAAACAGGATTATCCAGTTGAGTAGAAAGTTAATAAGAATACTTTTGTGCATGAGGGTCGACATCAGGGAAAGGATTTAAATAAGCCACAGAATTGTATAAAACAGAACTTATGAAACATAGACTCTCAATGACAACGCCGACGATAATAATACACAATTTATAAAACACCTTCCTTTTCAAAGTCATACTCTAAACATCAAGAGTTGCCATAGAATAATGTGCCCTTTTCAATTTCAAAGCATTTGCTTAAATTGGATTATTGTAGTAATAATAAAAGAATCCTTTCAGTGCCTTGAAGTTGGTTTCCATCATAGCTGTCCAATACTCTTAAGTGTCAGTGTGAACATATATATGTACCATGGGGTTACTTGGGATGAAATCATTCTTTCCATTCTCATTTTACCATCATCGTCATTGGAGGATCCAGTTTCCATGCACTGTGCATGGAAATCCTGGAGCATATCACGTTGATCAGGACACTTCACCCTGGCACATAACAGAAAACACTTGTGGGCTTGGTAATCACCTGGTGAACTGGATCAAAGGAAACTACACAAATGGATTATCAAGGCAAGAGAAATCCTCTTGGGCATAATAAGTGAGGACTACTTATTCATTTTTAATGTGGACCAGTAGCAGCACCGTAAAGATTAATGACAACCCTTTGCTGAGGGAAGTTGATGGGACACATTTGCCTTTTGTAAAACAAGTCTGCTGCTTGATAAGAACCCACCTGGTGAACTCATTCATCTGCACTGCAACCAAGAGCTGGATAGAATCACGTTATTGCCAGAGAAATAGATGAATTAGCTCAATTAAAGTATTGGCTGGAAACAGAGTGGGCTTTTGCCCATTCAAATAGTAGAAAGCACATCTCATTCTCTGTCACTAGTTGTTTAAATTCTATTTGTTGCCAAATCCACAATGTGTACAGATCATCAGTCCTCCTTTCAGCCTCTTCCTTCCCATCCCTCCACCCACCCACCCCAGAAACCTATACGTGGACCCCTGTCCCAGCGCCCCTCCTATGCCCCTTCCCCATATCCACAACCTTCCCTGGGAAGAAGATGAGAAAGACTTGAAATGTGTGAGTCAACCCGGGAGCTATTCAAAACTTAGTGGGTGACTGAGGTAAGCTGTCTACACTTGAGCGATATGAAGCTCTAAGAATGATTCATGCTCACCGAGGACCTGAGCGTCAGTTTTCTGGAACTCTCCAAAATTCCAAAAAAAAATTATACAGAATGAACATCTGGCATTAGATTTCACTGTACTGTAATGTACAAGCTTCTGGCATAGATTCTTTAAGTGATGAGTTCCCTCAGGCAGCACCGACTTTTGTTTGTGCTTATTATTTGCAAGCGTTGACTTGGCCGTCTACTTTTTATTGACTGTCGACTTTTTAATCACCTGAGACCTCCGTGTGGAATAAGTAACCCCACACTTGTCAGAAACCCCTTTCCAGATGGTGATATCACTGGAGAGCCTCAGAAAAAGGCTGTGCCAAAGGAAGGCAATAAACAAAAACTCAAGGTCAATTTGTGTAGAGGGCAAATGAACCTGGCATTTCTGTTTGCATTGATAAGAGCCTGTGTATTTGCAAACATCCCTTTCAGGGAAGTTCAACTTCTGTCTGTTCCTGGTGATTTCATGTAGCATGGAGACATGGGATGTGCCCTCTTAATTTTTTTTCCAAGTCCACCTTATTATTTTACTCCAAATTACTTGGCACTTCAAATAGATCTACATGTTTCCATATGCTTATATGTGCACACAAAGGTTTAGAGAACAAAAACCTCAATCCCAGAGGGTCATTCTGTCCCCTCCCTTCACTGAAGGGAATGGGAATGGTGAGGGAAAAGCATAAGAGTTGCCTGAGTGCCCATCAGGAAATAGTTAAAAGACAAACTGCTAAGGAGGAAAATTCCATCTGAAATCTACAAAACCTGCCACAGCCCCACTGAAACACTAGGCTTACTTTAAGATGAGGAATCGCAGGCTGAGGGTGGCTGCCAGCCACGGGCAGTCATTCAGTTCTTCACACACTCTCTGTGGTTGTAAATCCACAGAGCTGTAAGAGGGAGGGCTACTTACTGAAATAAAAGCCCCTGTCTCCACACACGAACTGAAGAGCGTCCACCAGCTCAGCCCCGCAGAGTGTCTCCGGTCCAGCTGTGACGGAGCTGGTGAAGGTGAGCAAGCACAGGGCCAGGTAGAAGAGATGGGAGGACGACATGATGTGTACCTTTACCTGCCGAGGAAACAGAAGGAGGGTCATGTTTCCTCCTGGGTCCTTGCAAGAGGATTCGGGGTGGGTCACGGGTGCACTGAGCCCCCCACACACATTCCATCACTGTCATGAATCAGAACCACCCTGCACAGAAGGGCAACAGCGTGCACGAGAAACCGCGGGGTGGCCTGAGCTGAGCACATCTGGACACCAAATGACCTGTGTGTAATCCCCTTGCTACTAGGAAACCTTGGAGAAGTCCTCCATGGACCCCTTCTTTATGGGTTTCTAAACCTTTTAAATTATCAAAAGTTAAATTGTGCTCAGTCCAGATTTGGTGCCAAATATGTTTTATTAATTTACATTCTCTAAAGACAGGCCATCCACAGATAGCATATGCATTCATTATTGACCAGAATATTAAATTAACCAGACATCCTTCCCTAGCTACTGATTAAAAAGAACTTACTGTGGCTTATAAAAATACTATATATCATTATAGAGTTTGTTGTGTTTTTTTTTTTTGAGAGAGAGAGAGAAAGAGAGAGAGAGAGATTTCTTACCTGGGGGATATCTTACCTACGGAAGTTAACACAACCACAAGTGGGAATATAAAAAACAGAAACAAGAAAAAATATGAGGATTTAGGAATGAAATTGGCTCTTGCTAAGTAGACCCTACTCTTTCTGCATTCTAAAGCCCTTTGTGTCAAGCTCAATATCACATCAACACGTGTGTAGAGAATGCTTTCCATGAACAGGGCACCAGGCTCAAAACCTACAAAAGCTTTTTTTTTAAGTCCCAGGAATTCTGACTTCACCTCTTGGAGGGACTTATGTGACACTGAATAAATTTTATAGCAAAATATACTGAGGGACCCCTGGTTGGCTTCACTTCGCAGTGACAGACAGCCAAGTGGCAGCCCTGCCAGAGGCAGAATTCCTGTGGCTCACAGCTCCATCCTCACTCTCAGTAGAAGAAACAAGGCTAAGGTGATCATTAAGTGTTTCCATATTGCTACTTGTGGCACAAAGCTGTGGTTTCTTCCAGGAAGGCTCCCAAAGCGAGCAGCTTCCCTGTTCTTAGATGCATCTACTTTCAACAGCATTGGAAGAGTCATCAGAATAGGTTAAGTGAAGGACCCTATTAAAGGTCATGGAGTTAGACTGGAAGCTATTAGGATAAAAAGAGCCTCTTTGGAACCTCCTAGTAGTGGCAGGTCCATTCAACCCCATCACTTTTGGAGCAACAGACTCAAGTCATTGATTTTCTGCCATGCTCCTTGCTCTCCATGCACTCTCCACTTAATGCTTCTACATCAGTGGCAAAGTGTGTCCCATCCTTTTAATTAAGATTTCCATGTTGGTAGCCAGACCTTCAGCTCAGAAATTGGGGGTGGGGAGAACCTTGGACTCTTGTTAAACAGTTGACTACAAAAAACACCTTCTATTTGCAAATCATCATAAGTAATGGGCATAAAATAGAAGAGGAGGTAAAAGCACAATTGAACATTTCTTCCATTTTCTCAATAGGACTCTACTGGAGTCTTATGGAAACCCTCCACACACATGAAGCCCAAACCACTGAGACTGCTAGAAACAAATCATCAACCAATCCTCATTTTCCTCAGTTATAAAATAATTAGTGGGGCTTTTCCCCTTCAATATTTCCAGTGGAAACCTCAACAAAACCAACTCAACTGTACTTCATTGCCCTTTCAATAAAGCTACTTGTAATTGATCTTACAGAATATACCCACACTCTGGCAATGGGTCAGTTCTAGGATGTATCCTTATGCTATCAACCTTATTTCTCCATAGTAATGCTCAAAGTCAAGCACTTGCAATTATAGATGCCTTTGAGTTCTTCAGTTGTCATGTAATCCAGGGGAAAAGGTACTCAACTTACAGCCTTAGTGAACTGATAACATCAGTAGATGTCAAAACTATATTTTAAATAGTTATTTCTGGTATAACACATTTAAGCCCAGCAATACATATAAATCTCTAGCATTTAAGAATTTAAGATTTTTTTTTACAGCTTTTTCTCTTTTGCTTAATTATATTGTCAGATAAATGTCAGCACTTACAGTTCTAGGACAAGATAGAACCTTTAATGCATGTTCCTTTAGTTCACAAAACAGTTCAGTACACCCACAAAGAACCAAAGAATTTATCACATTATGTGCCCCCAAACAGAAAACAATAATGAACTTGTTTAGGAGTTAAAAGTTTGAAACAAGTGGCCCCATATGTTCATCATTCCCTTGGCCTTTTGTTTTGCCAAACACAAAAGAAATGAAGAGAGAGAAAGGAAAAATATGATAGAAAGAAAGGACGAACCAGAAAGAGAAGAGAAAAAAGAAGAAGAAAAAATATCAGAACACTCTTTCTCAAAAATCCCCCACAAATCCAAAATTTAAAAGACTTTTCTTTTTATCTTAAATCAATGGAATATCAATTGATTCCAGATGTCTGGGCTACAATGAAAATGCCTAGCAGAATTTGAGGGCAATAGTCATAAGAAAATACTCACTGTAGGTGTAACCATTTTTGTTTGTTCCAGATCTTTTACAGCAGGTCAGGTTGAGTATTATGAGGCTGATGTGAATAGAAAACTGAGGACTTAAAAACATGTGCTGCTTTGTGGGTGGGGTTTGTGAAAGCATCTAGTTACATTTGGACACCCAAGCAGGTATGCTATGAGTCTGGGTAAACTGCCTTTTGTCCATTCAAACAATGAACAAATTATACAGCTTGGATTTGAGTCAATCTTTTCCCTTCAATCAAGATACCAATTTCCATTGTACCCCAGACAGTGACCCAGGCTCCAGCCCTCTCCCTTACCATCTCCCCTCTGACTCAAACACTTGGAAAATGTCTTGAGACTCAGAGTACAATCCATCACCTTGTGAGTTCTGCCTCCAGACAGGACATCTTTACTCCCTGAATGACATCTGAAAGACAACTCACCTCCCTCAAACCACGTCCTGCCCCAAATGCAGGAAAAAGGAACACCTTATTGCTAGCTCTGCTTTTGAAAAGTTCAGCATACACAGCATGGAAAGTTCATTTGGAGACAGTTTTCCAAACTTGTAATTAAGGCAGACATAACACTCAAGGGCCTCTTGTAGGGAGACAAATCCCCCACCTGTCAGACCACATAGCATATATGTATGTTGACTTGATTTCTTTTAAAAGCAAAGTAGCCAGCCTGTGTCTTGGCATCTCAAGGGCAGCAGAATCAGGTGCCCGGACAAGGATGGATCCTTAACTCCTAAGCCACTTACTCAGAAAAGTCCCGGCAGTGGAGTATTTGAAAGCAGCAAATGAATGCAGTACCCAGGAGCTGGGACATTTTATGAATTGAGACCTCAGGCAATTTCATCGGGAACCAGTGACAGCAGCTTAAAAGTGCTTGCAAATTGGAAAAACACATGCCTTGAAGGATATAATTTTGCTGAGAATGGAAATTTGAACTGGGGCCAGTGATTGGAAACGAGAAGTCGCGGCACGGACGGTGGCACCCAAATTGACCTAAAGAGACTTTGCAGCACCTAGTGTAAAGTCCGAGTTTTACAACACAACCCCCCAAGCCCAAACTTCGCCCAAGAAAGTCCTCTTTAAACCAGAAAACTTGGACAAACAGTTACTAGAAAGTTTCTGCTTCTCATATACAGTATGCATTTGTTTAAATTATATGAATATGCAAGTTCAGCAAGAGTTGTCAAGTTCTTTTTCAAGAGCAAATTAAACTCCTCTCTAACTTGGACTTTCTGGGCAGAAGTGCAGAGAGTTCCGGGACCTTAGCTCCAAAGATCATATTTAAAAGATTTAATATCATCTAAAATGTAATTCTCAGTATGTGGCATGCCTTATAATAAAAATCCTGACAAGTTACACACACACACACACACACACACACACACACACACACTCACATACATACGTAAGAACAATTTCTTAAAATTAAACATCTGCACGCAAAAAAAAAAAAAAACTCCCAAGTTCATATCCACTCTTGATAGCCCTTAACCATAGACAGGATTTAAAGGACTCTTCTCTAAAGACACCACTGAACCCCGGTGAAATGGAGGATTTAGCATAAGTACCTTGCAATCGTTTCTACTCATACATATCTCTGTGTAAAGGCATCTATCTCCCGGAGCTATCTTTTCAAATCCCACAGAATTGCACATTCAGCAATTTATAAATAACTCCCAGTTCCGAAACAATGAAAATTCTAAAGTGAATAACATTTCTAGGAAGAAGCAAGCAGTACACAAATAAAAGCAAATCCCCCAATGATTTCAAAGAGTAAGAAATATTTACCTTCAAGGAATCACAAAAGCAGCACTTAAATAATTGGGTTGGAAGACTGCTGACTTTTCCCATTGCTTGTGAAGTGCAAAGTCTGGAAATGAATTGGTTAGCAGGAATAATGAGGCAAGAAGAAATCCAGAGAGATGGGAGATGTTGAGAGCAATGTCACATTTCAATTTTGAGGACTTTATTCCATTGCGCAGGCTCTATCTGCTCTGAATTTAGCAGTGACAGTGAGGTTTAGCAAACAGAAGAGGGATTTAGAGAAAATCCTCACATTTATCTACAAAACACAGACACTGTAGACAGGAAACAGCTGGGGGAACATTTGCCTTCTCTCTCTCTCCCTCTTCTGGCAAAGTTATCGCGTAAGGACTTTTTTGGGCATGATGACAAATAACATCATACCTTTGCATTTTAAAACTAGAGCACAGAAGCATTTTTTTTTCTCTTAAAAGGTGTGTTAGTGACAGGGTGAGCAGATATTAAAAATATTGATGCTACTATAGGAGGTGAGGATCTGTTCTCTGATTAACTTTCTCCTGGGCATGAAGACACACATCTGTTAATACACCTTATCAGTATTAAAGGAGGGTATGTGGCGGGTGGGCAAGCAATTTCACATTCTAGCAAATGCAAAATAAAAGAGTGAAGCAAAGACACCCCAAGCAAACCTACGATTTTAACCCTGAAGTGACTAAGGTAGACTCGGTTGGAAGACAGCACTGGGGTGACCCCTTGTCCTACTTGCCAAGCCAGAAAAATGATCTCATTTCCCAGAACCTAGAAAAGGGGCAGGCAGCGTCGCAATTGGCTCCCTTTAGGAAGACACCGGTTCATGCTTTTTGCCTGAGACAGGGCAAAGACTTTGCTGAGCTGTAAAGCCAACTGAAAAAATAAAATCTTTTTTTCTTCCTTCTTCTACTAGGCTGCCTATCACCCTCCCTCCCACCCCCGTCAGGGGAAAGGACAAGCTATTTTCCCATTGTTCATATTTTTCTGCATAACTTGCAACTGTGTGTGTGTGTGTCTCTCTGTGTGTATGTGTGTGTGTGCGTGTGTGTGTGTGTGTGTGTGTGTGTTTTCTTTCTCCAGTGTTTGTGTGTTCTAAATAACACCAGCTGGCTAGCAATGCCCTCTCAAGGGTTATGATGTCATTCAGATCCCTCCACTGGATGAGTGGCTGGCAACATGGCCCAAGCCAGCTGTTTTGCTATTTATAATGAACCCTTGCCTTTGCCATTGAGAATCAAGTTCTGATTGCTCGTCAATATAGTTTGTACTGATTTCTCTTTGGTTTTGTGAGGTTGTAGATAAGAAAGTGGATTATGTAACAAGGTTGCAAAAGTCCAGATAAGACATACCAGTTTCCCTGCATGTCTAGCCAGGCATGGCTGCCCAGGGACGGTGGGAATAACCTGGACCCTGCATTCCCCTCTCATGACTGTCAGGGGCCACGATGATACTGATGCGTCCACTGAAAACAGAGGTCTGCTGGAAGCCGTAGTCTGGAACTTTATGTTGTCCTGTGGATAGAAAGTTGATTGCAGGCGTCATTGCCTTCAATGGCAAACCTGGCTGGTTTCAGAAGGGGGTTCAGTGAAATTATTAGAATTTAATGCCATCTGAATGGTGCACAAAGTCAGCCTCATATAGTGAGTGCCTACTATGTGCCCAACTACATGCACCATGGTCATGGCACCATAGGGCTCTCAGCTGAGTGGCAGGGACAAAGAGGAAATCATCACTGTCATGTGGTGGGTATCTTCTCTTTTAAAAATATGAACAGTGCACATGGTGGGGGAGGAACAGATTCTCTGGAAAGACAGGGAAGTGAAACCCGGTTGAAAATCCAGAATGGGGAGAAGGATGGATCATGAGAGGCTTTGGGTACAAGGTTGGGAAGTTTTAGTGGATACGATTTGACCAGAAGAGAATACAAATAAGCATCATCAAGAGATGGCCAGGTGCGTGGGCAATTCCTGTACTTTAAGAAAAATTCAAGGCTTCCTTTAATGATATCCTCTTCATGCATTTAATTTATGACTTGATGTACCCAAAGTCTCTTTTTTTTCTGCAGCTTTTGCAGATCACCCCCTTTGGGAAAAACAAAGTCTGTCCTCCTCTCATAGACTCTGATGATGAAATCGTATAACCAAAGAGCTGCACCTATCTTCCAGGTAGAAAGAACTGCCATTCCACCTGCACAGTGTCAGGTACTGGCTGGAGTCTTGTCTCTGAACGCCTTGCTCCATCACCAGGTGAAGGCCAGGACTTTCCCATTGCAACTTTAGCTTATTTTAATTGTCCCAGGATGTCCTAGGGGCTCACTGCATCTTTCCAAAGCTGGAACCCGGTCTGGTATACCCTCTGGTGTGCCCTGGGCAACCATGGCCTGTGAAAGGCTGCTTCAGGAGACAGGACACATGCCATTCCATCAGACTCTGCGCTCCTGTGATATCAACATACTGACTCACAGTGTCTTGGTTTCATAACCCCAATTACCCTTAAAGGATAATTGAGTTTTAATTTATGTCCCAGTTTTTATGTCACAAAGAAAACTGAAATTTCAGTGAGTCGTAATTATCATCAGCTGTGCTGTGGAAACACTCCAATGTGAGCTCCCAGTTTCCAATAGGGAAAGCAATTTCCTGAAGTGATTATTGCATATTTCAATGTGGGGAATGGTCTATATGTCTGGGTAGGATGAGCCAACCAAAGAACAGGGCAGTAATTTCCTAGAGAAATGGCCATATTCTCTGCTAATTCCAGAGTCAACATGAAAATGAAAGGGCAATAAATATGCCACATGATTACTTTTTAAGGACTGAGCAAATGAATGCACCTATTACTAGAGAGTCTGAGGTGGTAGTAAATCTAATCTCCAGGACAAGTTCAGGTCATGGAGTCTTACTGGAGAGAACATATGGGCTCATTCTAAAATGACTGAAGGACTGTGTAGTCTCCTGCCTGGGACAACCTGGCAGCTATGGGAATTGTGTGCCAACAAAATAGCTAACTGCACAAATGTGCTCATCATGAGAACATACACTCCTGAAAATTCAGATTCACAGTTTCACCTTTTGGGTGTATAATGCCTAGTGGGTATATATGCTCTACCCTAAAGCCTACTCCTTGAGTAGCATATTTGCAGTAAGCTGCTGCCTCAGAAGATTTCTGATGCCTTCCTTTAAAAATATAAAGTTGTTCATCTCCTTAAAGCACAGGCTGAGTGAGAGTCACAGAAAAGGGGTGAGCAAGGCCCAGTCCCCACTCTTACTGCTCGAGCCATGTTGCCAGCCTTCCCCATGCCAACTGCAGAGGAGCTGATCCAAAAGGTAATTTCATACCCATGTGCAATAGGGCATATTTACAATTTATTTTATTAATGTTTTTGCTGACTCCCAAGAAAAGCTCAGAATGGATATTTGGAGGTAGGAGGACTTTGGAACCAAATAAAGGGTGAGGTCTAAGGTTCTAGGGCCACCCACCAGGCAAAGAACTTGGGGAAACTATTGGACATGTGTCCTGGATCATGGTTTGTGGGGAGGGTTGGTCTGGGAGTGTATTCTCCAAAGTTTGAGATCAAGAGCTTGTCAATTCAGAATGTAAAACTCAGAGGAAAAGGCCAGATCTCAAAAATATAACATGCTGCCGAACAAGGGGACTAATCTCAGCTCCAAAGATCTGCTCAGAAGGGGCTCTGTTATTGCTCAGAAAGATCTTATGTAGCTCAAAGGAGTCGCTTTAAACCCTTACAGGAGCATTACCCCCACAGCTAGGGAAAACCGTAACAGGGAGAAGAAATACTCTCACTAAAGAAATCAGTGTGTTCTTTTCAACATCAAACTTGGATCTTATTTCTTCTAAAATGTCAAAAGGACAAATGCTGAAAGCAGTCAGAAGCAAAACTGCTGTGGTTTGGGGGCAGCAAAAGAATTCTTCGTAAAGGCAGACGAGGAGTCACTGCATGGGGCGAGGATGGCTTGGTGGAGTGAGAGAATCAGAGGATTCACCACAATTGTCCCAAGTTGAATAGAAAATGAGGAAAGGACACATCACCTCCGAACTTTAAGGGCTGTACCCACCAAACGCTTTCTTTTGGAATAAAAAAAAAAAAAAAAAAAAAGGTGTACGCCCTCTAGTGGGCTGAGGGGAAACTGCCACCCTAATCTTAACCATTGACATGGCCTTTTGGAGAGAGTGGGCGTTTTGAAAAGCTCTGGATTAAAATATATTTTAAATTGCACTGATCTTTAGTTTTATGAATCCTTTTAAAATAAAATAATCTATGTTTTAAAGAGGGGAAAAGTGCGAAGGGGAGAAAGAAAGATCATCAACTTTGTGAGGACACAGATGTATTCTTCACAGCAGGATTCCCCACGTTTAACTCCTGGTATGGGCTCAAAATACTGTGTTGATTGAACGAGAGTCTGGAAAATTGATGATGATAAAGGTAAAATGTTTAACATAAAGAAGAAACTCTCTGAGCGTGAAACGACCAATTCCTAAAAAGGAACAAAGAAAAATAAGAAAAGTGAGGGAGTGGGCAGCAAGGGTAGACAGAAAAGGGACTTATTTAAAATGAAACAAATGTAGGTGCTCACGGATGGATCCTAAATCCAGTCTCCCTGTCTGTTCAGCATGTTCTACCACATCAGTATTCAACATGTGCGCTAAAACTTTAATAGTCAAAGACACGCCATCTAAGAACCACATATGTGTGGAAGTGGTTCCATTTTTAATGATCTTTCTATCCTGAATTTACCAAGAAGGAATTCTCAGTTTGGTAGTAGCCTAGGTTCCGTGCCTAACACTTGCTTATCTTCCTTTTTGAACAACAGCAAACCAATTAGCCAACCAACCAAAGACACCTTAAGCCCAAAGGCTTAACAGACAGTAGTTTTATGCAGATTTTAACAGTACTGTTTTTTGTTTTAAGAATACATTTTACTTAGGGCAAGTGATGCTGTTTTGAAATAGACACTTTAAAGTTTTGAAAATATATGTATTCAATTCTTAAAAATTTAAGAAAAATACTTTAAAGTAAATAAATAATATTACAAGTGGCAGACAGTTACGATGAAATGTGTACAATAGGTGTTTGAATGTCTGGTGTTTGGGATTACTGCAGCATAACATGTCATGCATTAGGGGACAAAATACCACAGTGAAAAATCAGGGAACAAAGACCCTGGACATAAAAAAATGCCACCACATAAACAAATTAATTGTATTTCTTGATAATTCAGAGACCCTGTAGGCTCACACATTTTCCATACCAACCTTTCAGAGTTGGGAGATGTTGAAAAAGGCTTGGTAGAGTGAATAACATTTGAGTTAAGTCTAGAGGCATGAG